CGAACACCCTATGCAAACCCGATCCAAATCCGGGGTTTTCCGCCCTAAACAAATCCTCAACCTTAACACCTCCGGCCCCATCTCTCCCCTTCCCCCAACTTATCGTAGTGCGCTCAAGGATCCAAACTGGCATGCTGCTATGTGTGATGAATATAATGCTTTGATTAAGAATGATACATGGGAATTAGTACCCCCCTCCCCCTCACAAAATATCATCACCGGTAAATGTCTCTTCAGACATAAACTTGGCCCCACAGGTGAGTTATCCAGGTATAAAGCCCGATGGGTGGTCCGTGGTTTCAATCAACGTTTCGGAGTTGACTACGACGAGACTTTCAGCCCAGTCATCAAGCCTGCTACTGTTCGAATCGTCCTTAGCCTTGCCCTGTCTCGGGGATGGCCCATTCACCAGCTTGATGTCAAAAATGCCTTCCTGCATGGCCACCTTCAGGAGACTGTTTATGCCAGCCAGCCTTCTGGGTTTCAGGATGCCGCCAGACCCCATTACGTATGCAAACTCAAGAAGGCACTCTATGGGCTCAAGCAAGCACCGCGCTCGTGGTACCACAGATTCGCCGGCTTCATTCAGACTATTGGTTTCCACGGGTGCAAGGCTGACACATCCCTCTTTGTCTTCTCTCACACCACGGGCACAGCATTCCTCCTCCTTTATGTGGATGATATCGTCCTCACGGCCTCCTCGGCATCACTCCTTCAGAGTCTCATCCACCAGCTCAAGACCGAGTTTGCCATGACTGACATGGGGGACCTACATTTCTTCCTTGGTATCAATGTTCATCGGACGACCACAGGGCTCTTTCTTCAGACTCAGTTCATACATGACATCCTTGAGCGTGCTGGAATGACTTCTTGTCGCCCCATCACCACTCCGGTAGATGCAAAGGCAAAGTTGTCCTCCACCACGGGCACATTACTCTCCGATCCCTCCATCTACAGATCCATTGTGGGTGCTCTACAGTATCTCATCTTTACTCGCCCCGACATCACATATGCGGTTCAGCAGCTCTGCCTTCATCTCCATGCACCTCGCGATGCTCACCTCACTGCCATGAAGCGGGTTCTTCGATATCTGAGCGGCACCGCTACTCATGGCATCCATCTGACACCGTCCTCCACAGATTATCTCCAAGCCTACTCCGATGCTGATTGGGCTGGTTGCCCAGATACCAGACGTTCCACTTCAGGCTACTGCGTATTTTTAGGAGATAATCTTGTGTCTTGGTCGTCCAAACGGCAGGCAACCACATCGCGATCCAGTGCAGAAGCCGAATATAGGGCCGTAGCCAATGCAGTAGCCGAAACTACCTGGGTGCGCAATCTCCTCCTTGAGCTGCAGCAACCCCTCTAGCGTGCCACTCTCGTCTTCTGCGACAACGTCAGTGCCGTCTATCTCTCAACCAATCCCGTTCAGCACCAGCGCACCAAACATGTTGAGGTAGACATCCACTTTGTTCGTGACAAAGTGGCGCTTGGGCACATTCGAGTCCTGCATGTTCCTTCGTCCTCCCAGTATGCCGACATCTTCACCAAAGGACTCCCTTCACTTCTGTTTCTTGACTTTCGAGACAACTTGGGCATCAGATCGCTTCCACATTCGACGTAGCCGGGAGCATGTTAAATATATTCTTTATATTTAATATTATTGTATTATATTGTTACCATAACTGTATCACCTTCCTACTATGTCTCTCCTACCATTATTAGGATTGAGATTCTTAGTATATATACACATGTAATCACCACAATTCATCAATAAAAATATTCTTTCTACACTTTTGATATACAAGTAGTTTTTACTTGAATATAAACTTTACTAATTACGAGTATTTCTATATCAATGTTAAAATTTATCGAATTTAAAATAACTTCAATCAATTACTACCGTAAAAAGAAAAAAAAACACTTGGTGTAATTGAAGAACCGTTAATTTACTGCATGAACGTAGTATAAGTATATTGGTAAGTTTTTGTCCATCTAATCGGATAACCATTGGGAACTCAGTTCATTATCAACAGATATGTGCCAAGCATAGTTAGAAACAAATATACTTTGGCTGTCTTTTACATTAACCCTGAACTCATTCTGGCTACATTTGGAAAGAGAAGAAAAAATGTTTATGTGGGGGGAGGGGGGGGGGGGCTACATTTGTGAACTAAAGTAAAAATGTGCATATGATATGAGAGCCAAACAGGTGAAACAGCCTTCTTCTTACTCTTCTATGGTTAGCAGTAAAAAATTATTCCTTTACCCGCAGTGAAAACTCTTCTGGACAACATCTTTAACCAACCCTTGTCAAACTCCGGTTAAAAATCAACAAAAGAACCTCTTCCGCTGCAACCGGCGACAAGAAGACAAATCAGTGTCACCTTAATCTAATACTAATAACAAATGACCAAAAAAAATTAGCACAAAGGTTCTTTTGACACAGTGGCAGAGGCAGGGGAGACGGTAGTCCACGTCACCACGTACCTCCCGAGGAGGTTCCAACAAAGGTACCCCGAGAAGATTTTGGCAAAGGTGCCCTCTGTGAATGTAGTCTTGCCTCTGCCATTGACAATTAGCTCTGATGTCATAATATGACACCAGGTCCATTTGAGAGCCCAATAGGGCTCCGTTTGACCCCGAGATGATTTATATCCCCTAAACCTCCACCCTTCCCCACTAGCCGTCCCTCTGCATCCCTACCACACACATGGTGACAATCCATTTGACAGTGGATTGCCACCCATATGGAGGGCGCGAGTTTGGGAGGGGAAAGTTTTGTGTGGGGTAGAAAACACTTCGGGGTTAGGGCCTCAAATGGACCAGTGTCGTAATATGGCACATGTCCTTGGTGTCAAAAGAACCTAGCCAAGAAAAAAAACATTTACTCCTACAACGGAGTATGAATGTATTTAGAGTTTACACATACTTGAATTCTGGATTCTCGCATCTTCTCCAGCAGCTCTGTGATTTCGACCTGCTTCATTGATGTTGTGTGCAGCACCTGGAGGAAATATATTATAATGAATTAGTAATTATTGAAATCCCAATATAATAAAACAAACCATGACCATGATGAACTAGTGTAGTAGACTGAGGATTGCTTATTACCCTCTTAGTTTTCTCAAGATCAAATTCCACAGACTTGATCCTGTCCAAGGATTGCTTGAGCATGTGCTCTTTCTCCAATGGCATCTCAGCAGGCTTCTTGTGTAGCTCTTCGATTAACTGTTCCAGCCTTTCAAGGCGTTGAATGCACGGATGGAGATGATCATCTTCTTCTTCTTCTCCATTAGCAGCTGTGTTACTACTACTGCTACTATTACTGCTGCTCCTGCTATCATGCTTTTCTTCCAATGAACCGGAAGGGTAAATGTCCATGTGCTGTCTCTTCCAGGCCTCAAAAGGAAGAGTTTGGATGACCGAAAACAGTTTGAGCACAAAAGATATCGCCGGTCGTGTCAGGTACCCGAGACATCTGCTCACAAGCTTTTCTTGGATGGAATCCGACCCGTGAATCAAAACGGCTCCTATATATACAGTTCTATCAGTGTCCATATGAGAAAATGATCATCATTTTACTGGGTTTGTTGTTGAAAGTGCACAACAGTATAAACACATACCTTGAGAATTTGGTGCTCCATTGGCGAAAGAATCCAAATCATTCCTTTGAGATGAGTTAGCTTCGGGAAAATGGAGTCCTTGTCCACTGCCAACTTCTCTATCACTTTGACTCGGTTCATCGTAACTATAATAAAGACTCGAATTTGATGGCCTTGCCTACACTAACCAGAGTTTTGTCAGCACTTTAACATAATAATGTGAAAAATCAGTACCGCGAGCCTATTCTTTTTCTCTTGATAATTTTGAAACATGCGATTTAAGCACTCACTTCTTCAAGAAGAGGGGCGAACCTTGCATGCGTGCTGCTACTTTGTTCACCCAGAGAACGTGGATTGTCAATAATCTCAGATATGGATTCGTTTCTTGATATATTATCATCCATCCTTCCCTAAACAAATAAAGTCTGGTCAAATTGAAAGAACTAAAAAAAATCTCTCAACCTTGAAAGTATATGTTCCAACTGTTTATTTACCTTAAGTGGGCAGACATGTACATAGGAATCAATTTTCTGTTGGTTGCTGCATACCCTAGTAATCTGTCTCACCAATGTTGCTTCCGCATTATTCACGAGCTTGAAGTAGGGGAAATATTCCATCAAACTCACAATCATACGAATAGTTTGTGTAATATTAAAGACAGATTTAATAATACGGAGTACACTATATTATAGGCACCTTCATTATATCGGGATCACTCCAAGGACCCTTGTTAGACTTTAGACAGCCACCCTCAGTGTGACAAGTACAAGACCCGCCCAAGAAGTCCGGCAATTGACTGAAGAAAAACCAAGGAAGTCAAGATATGAGATGGCTCTTTTGTTTGTGAAGGAAGGAAGAAAGAAATACAAAACATGAAGAAAGTGAACCAACCTTGGGTCAATTACTTCAAGCAGTTTGCCCAAAGACTTCGGTTCCAAAAGCTGCAAAATCATGATTCAAAACAATATAGTAAATGTTTTTTTACAAGGCAAAAAGTGGAAATAAGGCAATGTTAAATTGAGCATCTACCTGGATTTTACCAATGGTCTTTGCATCTAGAAACTTCTGTGCAGCAGGCCAAAGCATCTTTTTGAAGCCAGTTCCAGCGTTAACAACAAACATTTGGTGCAGGGTCTGCAGTATGCATTAAAATAAGTATTGGAAAATCACTTGAGCAACTTCTGCAGGCTAATTTTCGCAAGAAAAAAAGAAGCACTTTTAAGATTTTCAATAAGTAGCAGCAAAATAATACCTCGGGATAATAATTGTTGTCAATTTTCGTCACAGCTGCCAAAAGACTGGCAGCTGTCGCCGTGAAGTTCTTCATCCCCTGCATTCAGAATGTGCCCTTTCAATACATAACAAATAAAGAGTAGCCTTTACGAGTTCTCCACAAGAACAAAAAACTCAGTAAAAATCCCACAACAGTAGGGCTTGGGAAGAACGGGGAGAGTGTGTGCGCAGACCTTATCCCTAGTCGGTAGTAGAGAGGCTGTTTACAAGAGACCCTCAAAAGTAAACACAATAGCACAGGCCAAGTAAGAGCACGTAGACATCTACATGAAACATAAATTTCATGTCTGTCTGCACCACATTCTTTATGTCAACCAAGTGGAAAAATTAACATACCAGGCCTTGCACGTCCAATATAGAAGTTGTTGAGCAGATCCTTCTCATTGCTGAAACAGAACATGCTGGGAACTTTTCAAGTATTGTTCTCTCAAACTCTTGGACATGATATTTCAAGTAACGTTCTATTGTTGTTATCCGCATTAGTTTGCTTGGGTGAGCTTGTCCAAGTCTTTCAATATATACAGGTCTTCCCTCCCTATCCACACCATGATACCCTTGAGGGTAGTATTGCAACACTTCTTGCCGCTCATTGAAGTCAAAGTCCTTTCCGGTAAAAAAAATAGTGTGAGCATTTAATTTATTGTGCACATACATACATACATATGTGTAGTGTGTATGAATAAGCATAAGTATCACCTCCAATATCGTGTCGGTTCCATACTCCTTCCTCCATTTAAGCATTTCTTCCCACATGTGAATGGTTTTGTCAATGCTAAAATCTCTGGCTTTCAAGAATCTGCAGAAAAATGTCACAATAACCACATATATTTAAAAAAAAAACATAAGGCATTTTGTAACATAACCTGAAATCAAACTACTCCCACAAACAGACCTCAATAGTGTGTGGTAGTCATCATGTTTGGCTGGCAGTAAATTGCGCTCAAAAAGATTTTGGCGCAGTTCATAGACAGCACTCTCTTCTTTTATATCGCGAACATCCTCTATAGAAAGTGAAGGAACCCTGTAATCTATTTTGCGTTTCCCTCTCTTCTTGAGAGAACGAGTGAACTTGCTGGAAGCATTTATTGCCTTCTTCTTCAAAGCTCCAATCCCAGAACGTCGCCTCTCATCTTCTGAATTATCAACATCTGATCTTCTGTCTCTTGCATCATCATAAAACTCTAGTCCCTCTACCACAAACACACACGAAATGAGAATCCCTTTATGAGTAATAATTTGGCCATACAAAATGAACTCAAATCAAGAGCCCTTACCGGACATTTTATCCATTAGAAGAGGAAACACAAATGGAAAATGAGAGGGCCTTAATGTCCAGAGCTGGGAAAACTACCACTTCATTAAAACCTGTCAAATTTGCATATTCCTCTAACTTCATTAAATCCATGACAGCAAAACAAAAACAGTTCAGAATAAAAAACCAAAGAAGTATATCACACTCAAGAGTAGGGTCTCGGGGGGAACCTGACCTTCACTCCAAGAACTATAGAGGCAAGTTTTGGAGAGGAACCCGAAAAGAATCATAACAAAAATGCAAAAAGAAAACAAAGAAAACATATATTTTGAACCATATAATTTAGTCCCTCATGTGTAAAAAACATGATAATGATGAACATTTGGATTTCTCCCTCCCATAGTACATTTATTAAAGCTAATATGTACAAAAAGGACAAACCATTCATGTGCCATTTCCAGAACTTGACAACTCTGCTATGCCAGAGCCATAATTAATCCAAAATAGTCTTTACTCAGCTATGAATGAATCTGTTTCTTTGGGTTTTTTTTAATTTACTAAGAAACAAATAATGCCAAAACCCAAGCACTCATGACTCATCACATTAAAACTCAACAGACTACAAAACTTAATCTTTTTTTCTGCAGATCTCACTTCGACCCCATACCCAAAAAAATCTAAAATTGAAAACCAAATGAAGAAGATCGAGTTTTAAACAACACGTCCTTCTATATATCTATATCATTATCATAAGAAAAGCTTACCGAAAACTTCTAAAAAAAGGTGAGCTAAATCGCAAGAATGGTGAGTGATCCGATGATCTTCTTGAATTACTAGATTGACATTAACTTTTAGCAATTAATGAAAGATGAAATCTTTTTTGAGTATTTGCTCATTTCTCTGCGGAAAAAAATCTGGGTTCAGCGGAGAAGAAAGAAAGATCCCAATCTTAAAGCTTGGAGTATTTATTGTGATTACTCCGCATAAATAAGATTTTTCTTTAATGGAAAAATAAAAACTTTTTGTTTTCGATTTTTTTCCCCTGAAGTTTCCTGCGTCTCTTTATTTCCTAGTTTGCTCAAATTCTACGGCTCCGGTGCTACGTGGCGACAGTTTTGCTCTCTATCAGAAAATTGCACTCAAGTCCTTCTAGTTTAATCCTTTTTGTCATTTAAACTATAAATTGTGGAAATTTTTTTTGTTACTTTGTATAATATACTCCTTAAAATTTTCTACTTTTTGAAATTATTTTATTTACAAATTGGTATATCAATAAGATATAAAGATTACATATTAAAAAACTACGTCAAAAGTTCTATAAGACAAGATGTGACAATAATATTTTATTTTATCAAATACTTAATGAAATCGTGTAAACAAATAAAAATTATCGAGGGGATATAGAAAAAAATTGTAATATATTTTGGGACGGAGAGTGTTATTCATTTTAGAATTTGTTTTGATATATCTGTTCACACATACCTTCCTTAAAACATAAAATATGAACACTATTGTTAGAGTTTAAGTTTTAGGGGCTGTTTGTTTCAGCCTCTTAATGGTTCAGATGTCTGAATGATTCAGCACTTAATGGTTCAGACTGTTTGTTTCAGCCTCTTAATGGTTCAGATGTCTGAATGGTTAAGAGATTTGCCTCTGAATGGTTAAGTATTATACAGAGTCTGAATGGTTAAGAGCTGTTATCTGAATTGATCAGACATTTGCCTCTGAATAGTTAAGCAATATACTAGCTCTTAATGGTTCAGACCTCTTACTGGTTCAGCACTTAATGATTCAGACCTCTTACTGGTTCAGCACTTACTCATTTAGAAGTTGCCAAACAGCCCCTTAGACTTTTAGGCAGTTACACTTATGTAACGCGGCCATGGGATTTTTGACATTCTTTTAATTTAAATGTGTTAGAGTGGCTGGGAGGAAAAATGTTGTCTTTCTATAAAAAAAAATTAATTATTTAAATTCGCATTATGATTCTTAATTGAAGTTTTAGTGACACATATTATTTATCTCTCCCTTACACAGTTACACGGCTACATCGATTTTGACTAGACAACTTCATTTTTAAATGAGTATAATAATTTTATGGTACATTTTTTTTGCCGGATGAAAAGCCATTTAAAACTTTTGTCATATACTCATTTAGTAAAACTCATTCCGAAGACGTTATCTGACTGGCAGATAAAATAGTGTCATAAGTAGCTAATTCGGTTACTCATTCTACCAAGAATATAAAATAGTGATTCTATTAAGACTGAAACTACAACTCAATTTGACTTCTATTAACCGTGACTGAACCGGTACAAGGAATCGTGGGGTCGTGGAATACCCGCGGTAAAAAAAAGTTTTTCTTTTGAGGGAGAGGTACAACTAACTTTCTTTTTGCTCTTAAACTCGGTGAAAAAAAATAAACTACTGATTGGGTAATTATTTCGATCCATCTGTCGGGGCATTTCGTCGTACCATAAAAGAGACATCATTTAATGCTGTGTTTGGTAAGCAGCAATTTAGGTTCGTTGGGTATATATAGTCACTAGCTTCTTGTGCTGTGTTTGTATGTGTGTGTGTGTCGTTTCTCCTTCAATTCCCATTAATGTCACATCTTCAACCAAACCCTCCACTAAAACGTCAAATTCTTAATTTCATTTTGATCAACAGTTGATCCTCTAATCAAATTTTAATTAATTAATATACTCTAAATCTCTAATAAAATTTTGATTCTCTTTTTTTTCTTATAAAAATTCACAAATAAAATCATGTTTCTGAAATTATACTCCATTCATCTCAAATTAATACTCAGAGTTTCACTTGACACGGAGTTTAAGAAAATAAAATTGTGTTTTTAAAAGTAATATAGAGAAAAGAGTGAAAAAAGTGAGCTATGAAACAAGTTCTCCAAAAAATGAAAATGAAGAATTGATTTGAGACCGTCCAAAAAGAAAATAAAGAGAATTAATTTGGGAGTGAGGAGTATTTATCAAAGTAAAAATGAAAAATAAATTCGATAAATGATCATTTTCTATATTTCGTCTCAAATTCTTATATATTTTGTAAATAGTTCTCAATTTTTGAAAACTATTCCATAACCAGACCTTCATGGATTATTTTTTGAAAAAGTATTTTCTCATATTTGTCCTAAAAAATTATTTACAAAATAAGTTTCTCAAATTAAGATCATTTATGAAATATTTAAGAATTCATGGCTAAATATGAAAAATTACTCGTAATTGAGAACCATTTATAGAATTTATTCAAAAATAAATGCATACAACTAGGGAAACCATTTTATGGGTGTTGTGGCCCATCTGATTAGGGGTAGACATAACACATTGTTCCAATTTGATATCAGAACCAAACTGGAAAACTAAGATTCCAAAGATAATTAATTACATTGCACACTAAAATTTGGTAGAAAAGACATTTTCAAACACACCTTGCGTCTTTAATTATTCATCGTTACAGTTATATTTATTTTACGTTAATCTTTTGTAAGTGTCATTATTTGAGTTATTAATCAAATCTTTCCTTCAAATAAATGAGGAGCAAGTCAATTGTATGAATGATTTATATATATAATAAAGTATGAATGATGCACCATATTTTAGTATTATTATAGTATTTTTTCCCTTATTTAATTGTATGAATGATTTATATATATTAAAAGTGTGAATGATGCACCATATGATAAATTTCAAAAATAATACCTGAACTTTATCGAAAATTTTAATTTGGTATCTGAACTTCAAAACTTTTACAAAAATACCTGAACTTTTACCATCCTTTCACTATTAGTCCATTTGCTCATTACCAAGTGACCAGCAGGTCACTTTGGACCAAATTTCAAAATCTGAATTTTTATTTTTTCACATTGACACTCATTTATTCATTATTTGGTTTGCATTTTTAAGTGTAGAAACAAGATGCACTTTCACTGTTTTTATTAGAGTTCAATTTATTCTCAATTTAAATGTTCAATCAGTTTCAATGATGCATCTTCATTTTATACTTATGAGTCACATTTACAATTCATTGCTTCTATTGTCGATTTAATTAATTGTACCATGTAATTAATAATATACGGTTAAGACTTGGAGCTTGTTTGGGAATAACGTTAGCGTCTTGAAAAGGCTATCTACGGAGTGTTTAGCGTTAGCGTTTTCAAAGTACTCTGTACCGTTAAAATTTTATCCAAAACGCTAACGCTAATTAATCTATAACGCTATTTCCAAACATGCCCTTAATTAAGAGTACTGATTTAAAATATGAATAATACGGAGTATAATATTTCCACGTAAATAAATTCAACAAGTATTTTTTTAAAATTTATTAAGAGTGTTTATCCGAAATCTTTTCAGCTAAACAGCCTAAACTTACCTAATTAAATTTCACCTATTTTTTTTTTAAAACAAATTTCACATAGTATAGACAGATCTATTGACACGTGAGTTGTAATTTCTCTGCATGGTCAAAGTGAAGCCAACGTAGGTAAAAGTCTAGTGTACAAAACCATGTAACGTTATCTCAATGATTAGTCATAATTTGAAACTTAAAATGAAGAATAAATACCATTTGTTCAAATTAAATCTCTACTTTCTCTTATTTATCTAGTTTTAAATTTTTATAATCAAACATTTCAATATATGACTTATACTTAAATACCAATTATAGTAAGGAATATATAGGATATTAATTAGATAAAATAACATTTTAAAGTATTTTATAAAACAAATCTAATAAAATTATTTTTATATAATCAATATCTAATATTGCTCTTATTTAGCTTGTGACCCAAAAAATCAAAAGTGGATAAATACATCCTTGGAATATTTTTTTTTGAAAAATAAACTACTACATTTTTAAGTGCAATTGGCTCGATTACATTGTGAGTTGTGTTTCTGTGCTTCTCGAGCCCACATGTAAAATATGGACATTTTTACATTTTTCTTGGATTGACAAGAGAACTTTTTCTTTTTCGCAAAAGGCACACCTTTTACATAGTATATATCCATACATTAAAGTCTATAAAATTAGTATGAACTTGAGGATAACGTAAGAGTTTTCCAACTTAATAAAACACAATGAAATAATACTTTGAAGGTTCACATTTTCTTGGTTTAACGTGAATGGATTTTTGCATGAATCTTGGAAATTGATCTTCGTACCATTCAAAAAATACATAAATGAATAAAAATTATCATAAATAGAAATTGGGATAATATTTTTAAGACACAAGACTACAAGAGCATAAGATAAAAACAAAAGGAAAAAAACAATACATACCGAGTGTTTGACTTTAGTGTCATCTATGCACCCCTATATACTACCTAATGGCCCCACCACGATATTACTATTTACTAGTGTGCATGCCTCTTCAATACAAAAAAAATATTTGCATAAAATAACACCAAAATTTAAATCATTGCGATAAATATCACTTAAACTATTTTATTTTCTAAATAACACTTAATAATATCAAGGAGGAATAATATTCAGTGATGACGAACATTTACTTAAATAATGATTAATGAATAATGACTAAAAATGCTACATTGAAAAAAAACACATATGATATTATTTAGAAAAAAATCATTATGTTTTAATGATATTTAAGTAAATTCTTCGAAAAAGAATCGTTCGCATAAAACAAAAAACTATGGAGTAATTATATATACTCGATTATTATTATTATTTAAAAAAAACTACTTAAATACTCCGTATATTAGACCAAACAAAAACAATACTCATATTAAGAAAGTTGAGGAGAACAAACTCTAATTAACAAATTAAAATAAAAATAGTTTAGTACTCCGTATACGTACCCGGCGTGAACACTCTATTTTGAAAGAGGATGCTCGAATATGATACAAATATCATAATAACTCAAATCTTAAATAAAAAAAGAATAAAAATAAATACACAAGCTGATAGGTGTAAATATAGCTTGGTAGGTTGATCGGGTCTGACCTGGACACAGGGAAGGGGTCGAGCCATTGAGGTGCCCACATGGATAGCTCAACTGATCCTAGGAGACGATTTAAAGTTCATATATATATCCTGGGATCGAATCCCGAAAGCGACAGTGTGTGAGCTCTATTCTTTATAATAGTTTCTTGTATTCATCAAACACGCAAGAGTCTCTCTAAAACTAAATCAAGATTACATCGTTATTTATTCTTTTCAGTATCCTATCAGACCGGGGTAGGAGCAGTCCGGTAGACATTCCACTTTTTTTTTTTGTGAGAGGGGTAGGGTAAAAGATGAATAAAAAGAACAGGGTGGCAGAGGGTAAAAAGACTGTTATTTAGAGAAAGAAACAAGTCAGTTTATTACTCCGTACTGTACTTTTTGGTCTTCTTTGGGTCTCAACAATTTGTAGTATCTCAGTCATGTGACAATGGCAGCAGCCTGCAATTATTATGCTAAAAGTAAAAAAATTCTATTCAATTAATAAGGCCCACCGATTTAATCCCGAAATTAAAAAAAATTACAGTGTCAATATTTAAATTTAGAATTCTAGTTTTAGTTAGATAAATGTCTTAATCGTCAAATTTGTTTTTTATTTTTTTTTGTGTGAGAATTTTGTTGGGACAATATTTGAGAAGGGAAAAAAGTAATTAAGGAGCCGACAAGGAGAGAGGCAAAGCGTTATGGGACAAAAAAAAAGAGACCACATACGGACGTAACGTATGCTTTTTTTTTTCTGGTAGGAAGTACTGTAAAAGCGTACGTACGATGATAAATTAAAAGAGACGGTACGACCCGACCCACCGACGATATAATAAACACACCATTTTAATGCAACACATCCTCAACCCCCCCACCCCCTCAGTTTCTTGTCACTCTCACTCTCTACCTATATTTTAATATGGATTCATGTGGGTGGGTGAGCGTTTTACACTTAACAAGATAAAGGCTTTGTTTGGTAACAGCGTTTTCGATTAACGTTAGCGTTTTGGATAAAATTTTAACGGTGCAGATTAATTCTGAAAACGCTAACGCTAAAGGCTACCGTCGGATAACTTTTTCAAAACGCTAACGCTAATCTCTGACGCTGATGCCAAACGAGGCCAAAGAGTCTAAAAGTTATCCAAAGTTATCCAGTTAAATGATTATCCAAATTGATATGTACTCCGTAATTGATAGATACAACCCAGTGGTACCACACCCGACAAGTTTGCAGGCGCCCGGAAGGTGCCTAAGTTTGACCAAGCTTGATCTCATCCTCCCCGGTAATCCTAGGTTGGCATTGACCAGGCATTGGTCCACTTGGGTCAGAAACGTCCAAGTGGACGATTTGATGTGAACAGTAGCCCAAAACAGTGTATTTTCTGTCATTATAAATAGGAATCAAAGCCTCATAAGGAAGGAAAACAATAAAAAATCTACACGGCTCCTACTTCGTAATCGGTCCCACATTATAAATAACAAACCGGGTTACATGTGTTTCCACCTACAACCCTTCCGCTTTCCTTGACTTCATACTACGTAGGTTTTACACCATCAGTAATAAAACTCTTATTTTGGATAAAAAAAATTCATCATTGTCCGTGTTTGAAGTGATATATTATGCATTTGGATATAATGTTACTTTATATTAATAATATATAAATACTTGTTGGGTTTGGGCTCCCAACTATGTGTCATCTTTAACTAAAAGGCCCAAATATTTTTTGAGGATAAGTCCTCAATACATTTGTGTCCACATATATTGAGAGTAAAAGTTTGGCAGCTGCATATATTACACACCACTCACGCATAAAAAAAAGGGAGAAAAACAGCCGCAAGAAGGGAGATAGCCGCTGCCATTTTCTTCAAAACGCAGACCTGGTTTTTTGGTCGATCGGAGGTCCAAATCTTGTCCGATCGAGCTGAAATTTTTGGAGGAGTCTAAGGACTCGTGGAGCTTCAATCTGAACGGTGGAGATCGAATTTCAACGGTTCAATCTCAAGTTATGAGCTTCGCACCAGCTGCTGTTTTTGGTGATTTCTTGCACTTTTGTTCATCTATTTTGATTCTTGTGCCTTCGTAGTGTTGTTAAGGGCTAGATATCATTGTGGTGCTGTTATATTGTGCATTTGTACTCTCAATTTGGTGGTAGTGGAGTTGGTTGGACCGAAGGGTCTCGTGGTTTTTACTCTTTCACATTGAAAGGGTTTTCCACGTTAAAATCCCGTGCCTCATATCGTTTTATTTTCGTGTTTGGATTATCTTGTTGCTTGGTGTTCTTTGGTGTGTTTGTTTGTTGCTCCTCATAGATTCATTCAAGAGGGAAAGGTGTTGATCTTGGGCACTACACATTCATTTGTGTTCTTGCTTTCCCAACAAGTGGTATCGGAGCGCCGGAGTAATCTGTTATTTGTCTTGATTGAATGATGGAGCCAAATTACAGCAGGATGATCAGTTTGAATGGAACAAATTATCACAAATGGAAGGGTAAAATGAAGGATTTACTCTTTGTGAAAAAGCTGCATCTACCAGTGTTTGCTACTCAGAAGCCAGAGTCAAAAAGTGATGAAGAGTGGGCTTTTGAACATGAAATGGTTTGTGGTTTCATTCGTCAGTGGGTAGATGATAATGTTCTGAATCACATCTACAATGAATCTCATGCTAGATCTTTGTGGGACAAGCTTGAATCCTTGTATGCATCAAAAACAGGGAATAACAAGCTGTATTTGCTCAGGCAAGCTATGAATCTGAGATTCAATGAAGGTTCTTCTATTTCTGACCACTTGAATGAATTTCAAGGGTGTTTTGATCAGTTGTCAGACATGGGCGTAAAGTTCGAGGATGAGATTTTGGGACTTTGGTTGCTGAATACTTTGCCTGATTCTTGGGAAAATCTTCGCGTGTCTTTGATTAGTTCTGCTCCCGGTGGTACAGTAACTATGGAGTATGTCAAAGCTGCCGTTCTGAATGAAGAAGTGAGACACAGAACTCATGAGACATCTACTTCAAAATCTGATGTCTTGGTTATTGAAAATAGGGGGAGAAGCAAAGACAGAGATCATGGAGAATTCAAAAGGGGCAAGAGCAGGAGCAAGTCCAGGTCAAAATACAAAAATGTTGAGTGCCATTATTGTCATAAAAAGGGGCACTTAATGAAAAACTGCTTCAAGCTGAAGAACAAAGACAAGAATAAGCCAGAAGGGAAAGATGGTGAAAATGATCGTCATGTTGCTACCACGACTTCGGGTGATCTGATAGTTGTTTCTGATAACGACTTGATTAATGTTGCCTTTGATGAATCAAGTTGGGTTATCGATAGTGGTGCCGCTTTCCATGTGACGTCAAGGAAAGATTTCTTCACATCTTATACTCCAGGTGATTATGGGGTATTGAAGATGGGTAATGATGGTCGTTCACAGGTTGTTGGCATTGGTGTTGTTGTCCTGGAAACCAGAACTGGGATGAAGTTAGTGTTGAAGAATGTCCGACATGCACCAGATATTCGCTTGAATTTGATATCTACTAGTGTCTTGGATGATGAAGGTTATATGAGTACCTTTGGTGATGGNGGTGATCTGATAGTTGTTTCTGATAACGACTTGATTAATGTTGCCTCTGATGAATCAAGTTGGGTTATCGATAGTGGTGCCGCTTTCCATGTGACGTCAAGGAAAGATTTCTTCACATCTTATACTCCAGGTGATTATGGGGTATTGAAGATGGGTAATGATGGTCGTTCACAGGTTGTTGGCATTGGTGTTGTTGTCCTGGAAACCAGAACTGGGATGAAGTTAGTGTTGAAGAATGTCCGACATGCACCAGATATTCGCTTGAATTTGATATCTACTAGTGTCTTGGATGATGAAGGTTATATGAGTACCTTTGGTGATGGACAATGCAAACTCACTAAGGGTTCTCTTATTGTGGCTCGTGGGAAGAAGTGTTCAGGTTTATACTGGACCAATGCTTCAGTCTCTATTGATTCTGTCAATGCAGTCGAGAGTGATAGTTCTTCAGAATTATGGCATAGAAGACTCAGTCACATTAGCGAGAAGGGTCTTGATTGTTTAGCCAAGAAGAATGTTCTTTCAGGGGTGAAAGATGCAAATTTAAAAAGGTGCAGTCACTGCTTGGCTGGGAAACAGAACAGAGTGTCCTTCAAGAGTCATCCATCTTTCAGAAAATCAGAGTTGCTTGAATTGGTACATTCAGATGTTTGTGGTCTTATGAAGACAAAGACGCATGGTGGTGCACGTTACTTTGTGACATTCATTGATGATTGCTCAAGGAAACTATGGGTGTATGCCTTGAGGTATAAAGACCAAGTTCTTGGGGTCTTTAAACATTTTCATGCTTCTGTTGAGAGAGAAACAGGAAAGAAGTTGAAGTGTATTCGCACAGACAATGGTGGTGAATACCTTGGCCCGTTTGATGAGTATTGCAGACAACAGGGCATCAGACATCAGAAGACGCCTCCGAAAACTCCACGGCTCAATGGCCTTGCAGAAAGGATGAACAGAACATTGGTGGAGAGAGTCAGATGTTTACTTTCAGAAGCACATTTGTCTAAATCTTTTTGGGGTGAGGCTTTGTATACTACTGCACATGTAATTAATTTATCACCTGCTACTGCTTTACATGGAGATGTTCCAGATCGAGTATGGTCCGGGAAAGATGTTTCTTATGACCATTTGCGTGTTTTTGGGTGTAAAGCTTTTGTACATGTGCCAAAGGACGAGAGATCCAAATTAGATGTCAAGACGAGGCAGTGCATCTTTGTTGGCTATGGTCATGATGAATTTGGCTATCGACTTTATGATCCTGTTGAGAAGAAGCTTGTCAGAAGCCGTGATGTTATCTTTATGGAGGATCAGAATATTGAAGATATTCAGAAGATGGAGAAGTCAGAGTCTCAAAGTTATGATGATCTTGTTGATTTGAATCCAACTCCCGTGGCTCATACGCCTAATGCTACCAATGGAGATCAGAATGATGATAACA